GGGGGGTGCGCGTCAACCGTATACGTGTCCAGGGCCCTCGAGCGCGGCTCATCAGGCCTCAGGGCCCCCTCCAGCCCTCCAGGGACCCGCTCCACCGCACTGCCTGTAGGTCGATGTATGTTGGTATGCGTCCGCCAATTGAGCTCGCAGAGCCACGTAAAAGTTACCTGCTCTCCATTGATTCTCCGCAAATTCTTTTTACAGCGCATGCTCCTTGCGTGTCAAAGGAAAACGTTGCTACAGCGGTGCGCTCATACCTTACTCTCTCCCTGAAGGAAGCAAGGAGCGTCGTCCACAAGGACGACGAACATGGATGTCGGCTTAGGTACGTACCGTAGTACCGTACGTACTAGGTGTTCCGATACATAGCTTCCCGAACGATACCTGTGAGGAAATTACCCCGACCCCTCCCGCACCTGGTTCGTCGCGCTGTGCACTCCATCACCCGTAACCCTTCTCCCCTTTCCTTTCCCGCTTTTTTCTCCCTTGGGCTCTAAGGACAACAAGCTTTTTTTAAGCCCCCATATCCTACCTTTCTCCGTCATACAATCATTCTTCCTCTTTTCCTCGCCCCTGCCTCCCCCCTTTCCCCCTCCTCCTCTCTCCGGTAGCAGACAGCCCGCCTCTCCCGCGTTCCCCGCCCCGCCCCGCCCTTTTACCGCCGGGCTCCCTCTCTCCTCTCCTACACGATCCCCCACCCCCAGCCCGACGCTCCTAAAAATTGAGCTCACTTCGGCGCAGCTACACCCAGGGTTGCGTCGGCATGTGCAGCGTCTGCGCTCCCTTGCACCAGTGGCCGCGCGACGCTTCAGACGAAGAGAGGTGACGCGAACCGAACACTCTGACGCAGCCCAGCGAGTGACCTTCCCCACCCAAACATAGCTGGCTGCTGCCAACAAAACGCCGACAAAAAAATACCGCGGTACGATAAATATCCCGGTCTTACAAAGTGGTCTCGAATAGGTGAAATGCGTTCTGTTCCAAATTAATTTTGACTGGAGATAAGATGGAATAGGTTATTTTTGAAGAGAGATGAAACAAAGAGCACGAAACTCTGTCGCGCCAAGCTCTCTGAGTTGGCAGCAGTGCTTCATCACTAGTATGGCTACCCGCAGTGTTGGCAGGGACTCCGAGGAAAGCGTTTCAGTGAATTAACGCATGCCGTGAAGGAAACATCCATTCGGGTAAGTTAGAAATCTTACTTCGAAATCTTCGCGCGGGTGGCGATTTGACTGTAGATTTGTCTCGTGGATTTGGAAGAGGCTCGTACTCACTTTCATGAAGATGAGATCCCAAGCTTGGCTCTCTACGTGAATTTTGGTTTCAAAGCATATCACAAACAAATGGAGTTTT